AGAATTCCCGAAAGCGTTCTTACCAACCCTAATTCTTTATAGACTAGCATTGCCCAGTTTGAGGGGTAGGTCGATTCTATATTTAGGGCAAATTTTTCCTAAATGTGCGTGTGGGACTTCAGTAAGAAGTTGTCCAAGAGTGGCGTGGTGAGCAGAGGGTGAGCTATAGAATGGATTGCCCAGAGTTGAATTTTGCTTGAATTGATTTTGGATAGTCTTAAGTCTGCCTTAGAAGTGTCCATGAAGGGCTGACGACGTAGCACTATTAGCTAAGCGGCCAAGTTGTGTGGTGAGCGTAGGTCCCTTTTAGACTAGAGCCCAATGAGAGGTCTTAGGTTTGTGTTATCACCTAAATTTTCCTCAAAAGGCGCACGTACGACTTTATTTAAGAAGTGGCCGAGTTTTAATCTGGTTTGAGGGTAGTGCGGAGAGGGTCTACCTAAAAACTTTTCCCTAAGATCGGCTACGAAACTTTCCTTAGTGAAAAGTTCCCGGGGGGTGAGGTGTGCGTGTGCGAAGCGAGTTCCTATGAACGAGGCTGCCCAAAGATTTGAATTGAGTGTGGAGAGTGTGCGTGTGAGTGTAGTTGTGCGCGTGAGGAAATTGCCTGAAAAGTAGGTCATAAGCTTAATGCTTCTAACTAAATGCCGCATATATTTAAATTTAGGTGGATGTGCGAGCGTGTGTGCGGGTAGAATACCCAAGTGTAATGGGACTTATACTTGTGCAGAAGGTGCGCGCAGTAGTGTGGTCTTGACAGGAGCGCTGAGTGTCTGAGGTGGGCAGCTGCCTAAATTTAGAGTGAAAGTGTTTTGATTATTTTGTTTATTGAGTTTGACGGAGTGGGGTGTTGAGAGTTTACACGTTGTGTTAGTTTTTCTTTGTTTGTTTCTGTTTTGTTACCTTTTTTCTTTACCCATACAACATTTAAGTACTTTTCCTTTTTTCTTACCATTTCCTGTTTGTTTTACTTGCAGTAGGTGGATTACCATTCCCTTCATTTTTGATTTTAAGTTGTGATGTGTGAGGTGGCGGGGCGAGTTGAGGTGTTGTGTGTGAGTTGTGTGTGTGGTGCGCGAGTGTGCCTTTTGCAGCAGTTTTCAGGGATAGTTCACAAGTAATTGGTAAAGGCTCGTATAGGGGAGCTTGGAAGAGGCTGTCAAAGAGCAATTTTAGTGGAAGCGTTTTTTGGAGAGGTTTTGAGCAGTCTTTATAGGAGTGGGGAGGTTTGAAATTTTTTGGCAAAGAGCAACTTTACAGATTTTAGAGAGCAACTATGTTTAAATAGTGATCTCTCCCCTCCTCCCTTTCTCCGTTTTTATTCAAAGCATTTTTTTTATTTATTTACTTGCTCTAATTAGTCATTTACTATCGCATGATTTAAATTCTTCTTTAATAATTTTTTTTATATTTTTAAAACTTTTATTTATACAATTTAGTCAATCATATTAATTTTAATTAATTTTGATTAATTTAATATGTCTAATTTAATAAAAATTTATTAAATAAATCGATTAATTAACATTTTCAAATTTTATTCCCCCAATTTTAAGTTTTTTAGAGGATCCGTTCTTTTTTTTTTCCAAAATTCGCTAAGTCCTCAAATTTTTTCAAAAAATTTTTTGGCAGCCTCCCGCGTCACCTCCCCACGAGGAAATCGGACGCATTTGCGATATTTTCTTTCCCGGGTCGACTGGAGGTCGCGACACGAGCCTTGAATTTAAAACCATTCTCGTCGATCTAAATGCGCGAGCGAGCGGTGTGTGAGTGTGTGTTCTGTCCCGACCTGGATTTGAAATCGACGTACGGAGGTCTTTAATTTAAAACCATCTCGGCCGGATCTAAGATCGACAACACTGGAGTGGTGTGTGTGGAACCATCCGTGACGACCTAAGTACGCGGTGGCGCGTGTCGAGGTGTGGTGAGGAGTGGTCAAAATTTATTTCTCTTCACTCATACTTTCTCTCTCTTTTTCTTTTATTTCATTACATGTAGGCGTGTATTTTTATTAATAATATATACAATTATATATTAATTTAATATATTATATAAATATTATATATATGTATATAATATCATATATATCAATATATTAACTTAACGAGTATATATTTTTATTTATAATAGATAAACTTTATATTATATAATATAGAGAGAAAGGAGGAGTGGGTGGAGGCCGAAGAAGTGGACGGCAATCTCTTTCCCTCTCCGCAAAGCCAGGGAATTCGGACAGCGGATGAAGGGAAGCGGAAGAGGCGAGCGTGCAGCCTTCCCTTCTTCCACGAAGAAACGAAGTGTCTCGGGGTGGGACGAGGGAGCCAAGAAGTGGCGTTGCGATCTCCTCCCTCCCTCAGAAGCGCAGTTCGAACGGCAACGGCCCGAGAGGGAACGACGGTGGGAGCAGACGGGGAGCCACGAGAAGATGGGATCGCGGGCGTCAGGGTGCGGTCAGGGCGTGGGGTTAGACGTCGAGGTCGGAGAACGAGGGTGTGAGGAGGAACCGAATGAGCGATCCGTGCGATTCCCCCTCTAGCAAACAACGAAGTCCACCAGAAACGGAGGGGGAACCGAATGAGCGAGGAGTCATTTCTTTTTTTTCTTTTTTTTCACGGGATTCCTTCTATCAGGTGTGGTGGTGCGTGTGCGCGCGAATGATGTTTTCGATGTTGGGGGGACGGCAGAGCCGGTTCTGGGTCTGATTTTTTTGTTCTCTAATTTAATTTAATTAATTTTTAAATAATTTTTTTAGTTCAACAACATGTCGTTCCTAGAGTTTCTTCATTCTTGTTATGTTTGTCGTCCCGGGTGTGGCCTGGACTTGAGCCCCGTTGTGGTGGATAAATTTAAATTTCTACCCCCTTAACATGTAAGTATCCTAAAAAATTAAAATCAAATTAGCTCAATGTCTTTCAAGTAGAAAAAAATTGCATGGCTCCTCAAGTGTGGGGTTTCAAATTGAAAATAATCATGCAATAGCCCAGAATGTGTCACATGTAGAGTGGGTTCACTTTGCTGTGAAGTAACAAATCTTTCTTTTTTGTGAGATCAGCATTTGCACAATACGTACTGACATGCTAAGCATCTTGGCCTAAAGCCAAGCTATAAGAGCCTTACCTTCTAAAATTAAAACAACGCCTAGCGCAGCGTGGAGTGTGAGTGGTGAGACCGGGGACGACATTGGGTTTTTAAAGCAGATTTAGGGAGGTTTAGTGGTAGTCCCGTCAGGTGAAAGAAAATCCAGGAGGTCAGGCAGATATGCCTCATGTTGAGGTGTTAATTGTAAGTCCCTGTGTGTGTGGGTTAGATCTAGCTCAAGCACTACGGCTGTCCGGTAGTCCTCACCTATAGTCTTTAGGACCCACATGGGCTTATTCCAAATCACCCTATAAGCGCGCGCGCGTGCGTGTAGTCGGCAATTCCTCCAACAAGTATTGTTGGTTATGTAAGCGGCGCGAGTGCGTGTGCGGTGGGAGTGAGAATATCAACTTAACAAATTTAGGTTCTAAATGGAAAGCGGCCAACATAGATAGTTTTGGGGCACCTCTGAGTTTCATCCAGATCAAGTGCCCCTACTTCACCTCCTTTGGGCTTTCATTGTGGAGATGCGTGAGGTGTGCGAGTTGATCAGGTTGTTCCTTGAAATTTCCTAGAAGGGCCCAAATCCTATTTATTAAAGACTTGCATGGATTTTTAACAACAAAAATCAATTTTTTAGCCAAATATTTTAAATTGACTTCCAAAACAGCAAAACCACTAGTTAATATCAAAAGTGGTTCCAAATACAAGTGGATGTTAATTAGGAGCGTTAGGGGCTTGTGGCGTATGGGATGTCTTGTAGAGCGCCAGAAATAAATAACCACCACTCAACCAAAATTGAGTGGGGG